TAGGAATTTGACAAAAGAAATCTCAATATTATCTTTTTTACCCAATAGAAAAACATATTATGGCAATTTTGGCAGCCCCTTGTCTAAAATGTCTAATGTGTCTGCCAATTCAGGGAGGTACCAACAATAGCTTTAAAATGCTAGATCGAGTGTGTCTTTAAGAAAGGCTTCGTCTTGGCCACAGCGTTTGTTTGGACTAAATTCTGTACAAAACGGCAAACAAGCCTTGTGTGATTTCCAAATGGCCGTGCGCCTAGTCTGCCAATTCAATATAAATAATTGTCCAATCCTTTTGAGATGCATACCTCGTTCTTGCCTTTGCCACCGAGCTTAGACTCTGAAGTAGACCCTTTGACGGAGAACTAATGTTAGCTCCATAAAATGGAGTGTGATGTCTTTGAAAAGCCTAACCTAGTTTACAATGAAGAGTGATTTCAAATTTCAACAATCAAGACAATGGGGAGATGTCAAGGTTGACTCCAAGTAAAATTAATGAGCTTTAAGATGGAAAAAAAATATGTGTTTGTAATATGTGTAAACATTTTACAAAATAAAAAGAACTGCTGTAGGGAAATATGACTCATATTTACTTTTTTAAGAAACTGCTCAAGGTACCAATCTTGCGCTAATTTGAATAATATTTAGCAAATTACAGGTTTACTCAAAGTTACTAAAAATTATGGAGCTAATATCACTTATTTAATTTAATTGCGTCAATTACATTTTTCAAGAATGACTGTATGCTGCTAAGGGGACCGGAGACACATGGAGGATCAGGCAGACATTGCATATTGTGAGCCCACCCCCTCTCCTTTTTTTGGGAAAAATACCATGGGCTTTATCTTAACTGCACGATGGCTGAGTGGATAGCACTCGCTTCTCAGCAAGAAGGTCTTGCGTTCGAATCGCGGTCGGAACAGGGCCTTCATGGAGTTTGCATGCTCTCACTGTGTCTGCGTAGGTTTCCTCCGGGTGCTCCGGTTTCCCCTACCACTAAAAACATGCGCAATACGTATGAATGCAATGATTGAGTGAGTGATGAATGGTGTTGATTGGGGGCTTTGATTGTCCAGTGTTTGGCGTGTGTTTGGCGACTCGCTTCCGTCATCACCATGTGTGGATAACTATCTGAACTCTAAACAATTGTAAAGCGTTTTGGGTGACCTTGGTCTGTAAAATGCACTATATAAATAAAGCTTACTTACTTACTTACTTTATAGCATAGAAGACACACATATTTATATATAAAAGAAGTGCCACAAACCACATCAAATTCACACCTCATTCACACTTTGTATGTATGGACAATATTGCAGACAATGGCACAATTTAACTAGTTAGATAAAGGAAACTCCATACTTTCTATTGTCTACAGACTGAGAAAACAACTCAAAAACTAGTAGCAATAAATACATTTTCAGCACTCATGATTTCTATGTTACTGAGCAACAAAAGCAAAAACCCCCTATTTATTCCCTAGTGTAAACAGCGTCCTAGCTTGGTAATAATTACATCCACTAAAAATTCAATCTATATGCAACAATGACTGAATCCTGACCTAGATCTTCTCCTCGTCCGTGTCAATGTTACATGCAGAACGCAACAACACCAGAGCAATCAAATGGTTTGTAACTGCAGTCAAGGATATTGAATCTCAGCCGTTTGAGCCCAGGATAGGAGACGTAATATTCCTTATATATGATGCAAGACAGTAAGTGACGTGAAAAAATCACCATGACAACCAACTATACTGTGAGCTTCTATGGGCATCTAGGGAAGCAGATCTCGCTCTCTAATTTGTATGGGAAAAGAGTGGGCAGTGGGATCTCCTGAGAGCATTATTTATCTGACGGACCACTCTTTTTTTTTTTGATCCCGCAGTGGTTTGGACAAATAGCCTGCCACATTTCGCCAGGGAGCAGCGTATTATGTTCCAGCCAGAGTCAATTAACGTCAACAACCGATGAGATCATCATGTAGTGACGCGAAGCAGACACCGCCCGACTAATTTATCGGCCGAGATGGACGAATACAGATAGTCAGGGTTCAGGCCCCTGGGATGAGAGGAGTTTGGGGCCACGTTTTGGACTGAATGCTTGTGATGATGATGGGGGAAAGTGCTTATCAGTGTTTGTAAATGTAGTCAGCCAAAATTGTGTGAAAAAAGTGAAAAATATAATACTAACAGATACAGATACGCACCCGGGCAGAAATGCTGGGTCTTTTTTGCCACATTTTTTTTTTCATTCATTGTTGATGGTTGTGTTAAGTCATTTAGTGTCATATAAAAATGTTTTCTATGTTTTATAATTATAACAACAATTAGAAGACCCTGATTTTAAATCTCTAACCTCAGTTCTCGATAGCTGGTATTTCCATTTGACAGCCATCGTAGCTTGGACTCTAGGTTCTGTATCCTCTCTGATGGTACAGCTGCACAATCTTCCTGTCCAGTTCTTGTAAATTCTTGTAAATTCCAGGGCTGCTGTACATGAACATGTTTGATCTCCACAAAGCGGCTATTTGATAAATTGCTTCACACAACCTCCAACAATGGATCAATGGGGGTTGAAAAAAAATCTAAAATCTGTCCAAAACAATTTATTCAGTGGCTATGTAAACATTCAAAATATTCATAACAACATTTTCTACTACATCTGCTAAAACTGAACAACTAGTGTGATTCCAAATCCATGAAACAAACATTTACATTATGTTTGTTCGTTTTGTCAATATTGCTCTTATTTCAACAGTAAGCTACAACCACCTTACTCAACTCAACCTTCTTTGAAAAACATTGTTAAATACAGATGTTTTTCATCAATAAAACCCATGAATTCAAAAAAATACAATCAAAAATGTGCCCAAATGCTGCTCACCTCCATTATTTCAACCGTGAGTTTGGGTCTTACCCCCATGAGCTCGTCCCAGTTGCGTGTGAAAAAGGATATGGGTTACATACAACGCGCAGACACCAGTTGCGAGGCCGTGTGGTTTGCTTGAGGCAGAAGAAGGCCACCGGTGCCAGGGCGGGGTACGGCTGCTGCTCCTCCTCCTCCGATATGCAGTCCGGGTCCCGAATAGGCGCTCTGATCCTCACCCCAACGGTCGGCCCGGGAACCTCCCCCAACTCGGGCTCCCCTGTAATATCCTCCTGCTCCTCTTCTTCTTCAATCTCCTCTCTCCAATCTCCCCTATCCTCCTCTTCCCCCTCATCGTGACCCTCAGTGCCAACCCCTCCCGGGTCGAGGTCTTCCGGGCTGTTGCTGTGGTAACAGGTGGGTACGGCCAGAATCACCTGGTCGGGAGGGGGCGACTCGGCCTCCGGTGCTTCCTGGTCTTGTCCCGTCTGCTGCTGCTGGACCTCTGCGAACTGAAAGCGCGCTCTCCCCTCGCCATCAGTCATGATAGAGCGTCAGGCCGAGCCACTCTGGAAAAGAACATTAAAAAAAACGTGAATCATGAATCTGTGGATGAAGATTATGTAAATGTTATTGTCTCTGAGAGGAAGTGTGATCTCTGCACTTGAGATCGTGGGACCTATTACGCAAACTTGGAATTGTTTTTAGTGTAAAAAAGTTAATTATGTGTTCTTTATGTTTAAAGGAGCAGTATGTAAAAATCTGGCTAAAAGTGCCACTGCACTCTCCCTGGTTGCCAGATATGCAGACAAATCCAGCTGGGATAGACAAAGATTTGTCAACAACAAATCTATAATCAACACCTTTTTTTATATACAAAGGTATCCCCGATTGAAATCCTCATTTTATTCCTTATTTTGTCATGAATGATTTGAGAAAAATAACGAGACCTTTTTTAGTAATGTGGTCACATGTTACTTTACCAGTGAGATTAGCTCCACACTGTGAGTTCTGGCAAACCAGATCATGGCCTTTCTGGTAAAATGGTGGAGGGCGGGACATCGAAATAAAAACAATCAGATTTAGGAGCTGTAGAACTAATTTTGAAATTCAAGTATTTTGGCTGAACTACTGTTAACGGTTAAAGAAGTATTTGAAAAGAGCATGGTTTATTAATGTCTTTTTACATATTAGGGCCATTCAAAGATGACTTGACATTAAAATCTTACATATTGCTACTTTAAGGCTTTGAAGGTTCTTCTAATAAGACAAGAGTGTAAAGAAGAAGAAGAAGAACTGCAATAGGTAGTTAAATGGTACAACCTTATTTACACTCTTGTCTTATTAAAAGACGCTTCAAAGCCTTGGGATAGGTTTGGTCCAGTCCCTGCTATTTATTTTGGTCGCGTTAGTGTAGAAAAGCTTGTTTGGTTTTAGTAAAGTCTACAATATTTACAAAGCTTTGTAATGGTACCTTTATGGATATTCCAGTAAATATACATTGTTTACATCTTTGACACTTGCAGACACACATACAATAAATACTGGTTATATTTAACCTATGCAACAGTTTCATCATGCATCAATAATTTCAATATAAATTTCAACCCTACAATGTATCCGCTTGAAATGTTCATTCAGTCTTGTCCAGTCTCTGCTTTCTCTCAGTTTCGTGTCTAGGTAAAACACCTCTTCTATCAATCGCCACTACAGATCATTCAGATGCATTTTAATTTGGACGCTACCATTAGGTATAGTCTCCATACAGATGACAACACCCCAATAAAACACATACATTGGCATTTTCAGCTAAAATACTGCCATTAATTGCTCAGTCAAGGTCAGCAGGAGGCCAGAGGACCACAAATCAAAA